CAGGTAATAGCACATATTTCATTTTATCATGTAAAATGTTTTGGTCTTTGGTATACCCAGGTTCATACACTCCGATTGTGAAAATTCTTTAGCATCTGGAACTGTCTGTCACGCCCAGGGTGTGATTTTCTATGTTGTATTTTCTATGTTTGTGATCTAGGTTTTGTAGTTCTATGATTGGCCGGGTGTGTTTCCCAATCAGAGGCAGCTGTCGCTCGTTGTCTCTGATTGGGGATCATACTTAGGCAGCCTATTGGCAATTAGGTGTTGTGGGATCTTGTTCCGTGTTAGGTATGTTGTGTGTGTACCTTGGGACTTCACGTTTCGTTTCTTGTTTTGTAGTTGTGTTTATAAGTCAAATAAACATGTATGCATATCACGCTGCGCCTTGGTCTGACCCGTTCCTTAACGAACGTGACAGAAGATCCCACCAAACACGGACCAAGCAGCGTGCCCAGGAGGACCGAACACCCTGGACACAGGTGGGGAAGATGTGGTCGTGGGAGGAGATATTTGCGGGGAAAGGGCCATGGGCGAAGGTAGATGCCCAGGCAGGAGAGGAGCAACGGCAACACAGAGGACACCGGTCGAGGAAGAAGCCCGAGAGACAGCCCCAAGAAAAAAATGTGGGGGGGCTAAAAGGGTGGTTGGCAGAGCCTAGTGTTAGAGCAGCGCCAACTCCCCGTACTCACGAGAGGAAGCGTGTGACTGGGCAGGCTCCGTGTAATGCGGAGCTACGTACTGTGTCGCCAGTGTGCCGGCACAGTCCTATACGTCCTGTGCTAGCACCACGCACGTGCCGTGCGAAGATGGGCATCCAGCCACTACAGGGTGTGCCGGCTCAACGCTCCTGGTCTCCAGTATGCCTCCTCGGTCCCGCATATCCTGCGCCAGTTCTACGTACTGTATCGCCAGTGCACGTGCACAGCCCTGTGCGACCTGTGCTAATGCCTCACACATACTGTGCGGAAGTAGGCATCCAGCCAGGACGGGTTGTGCCAGCTCTCCGCTTCAGACCTCCAGTCCGCCTACACAGTCCGGTACGGCCCGTTCCTGCTCCTCGCACCAAGCCAGTGGTGCGCGTCGCCAGCCCGGTCCGGCCTGTTCCTGCTCCTCGCACCAAACCAGTGGTGCGTGTTCCCAGCCCGGCCCGGCCTGTTCCTGCTCCTCTCACCAAGCCAGTGGTGCGCGTCGCCAGCCCGGCCCGGCCTGTTCCTGCTCCTCGCACCAAGCCAGTGGTGCGCGACGCAGGCCCGGCCTGTTCCTGCTCCTCGCACCAAGCCAGTGGTGCGCGTCGCCAGCCCGGCCCGTTCCTGCTCCTCCCACCAAGCCAGTGGTGCGCGTCGCCGGCCCGGCCTGTTCCTCGCACCAAACCAGTGGTGCGTGTTCCCAGCCCGGCCCGGCCTGTTCCTGCTCCTCGCACCAAGCCAGTGGTGAGCGTCGCCAGCCCGGCCCGGCCTGTTCCTGCTCCTCGCACCAAGCCAGTGGTGCGCGTCGCCAGTCCGGCCCGGCCTGTTCCCGTACCTCGCACCAACCTAGTGGTGCGCGTCGCCAGTCCGGCCTGGCCTGTTCCTGCTCCTCGCACCAAGCCAGTGGTGCGTGTCGCCAGTTCGGCCCGGCCCGTTCCTGCTCCTCGCACCAGACCAGTGGTGAGTGTTCCTAGTCCGGCACGGCCCGTGCCCGTTCCACCGGTGCCTGGTCCGGCACCAGTCAGCAGCTCCAGTCCGGAGTCAGAGTAGTCCGCTCCACCAGTGCCTGATCCAGCTCCGGTAAGCTGCTCCAGTCCGGAGCCAGAGCAGTCCGCTCCACCGGTGCCTGATCCAGCTCCGGTCAGCTGCTCCACTCCGGAGCCAGAGCAGTCCACTCCACCGGGGTCCAGTCCAGCTCCGGTCAGCGGCTCCACTCCGGAGCCAGAGCAGTCCGCTACACCGGTGCCCGGTTCAGCTCCGGTCAGCGGCTCCAGTCCAGACCCAGACGTCAGCCCCTCTCCAGGTTCGGGGTCTCCCACACCAGGGTCCAGACAGGGCTTGGAGTATAGTGGGAGGAAGGAGAGGGGAAGCAGCGCGCCGAGGTCCAGACCAGACCAGGGGCGCAACAGGGAGGCGGAGAATAGGTGGTGGTCACGCCCGGAGCCGGATCCGCCTCCGAGGCGGAATGCCCACCCGGCCCCTACCCTGTTAAGTAAAGGTTGTGCGGTCGGAGTCCGCACCTTTGGGGGTGGGGGAGGGTACTGTCACTCTGGGGACTCCTATTTGTTGAGTCAGGGTTTGACTTTCTATGTTGTGATGTTCTATGTTGTATTTTCTAGGTTTAGGTCTAGTACGTCTAGATCTATGTTGGCCGGTGTGGTTCCCAATCAGAGGCAGCTGTCGCTCGTTGTCTCTGATTGGGGACCATACTTAGGCAGCCTATTGGCACTAGTGTGTTGTGGGATCTTGTTCCGTGTGAGGTTTGTTGTGTGTTACCTTTGGACGTCACGTTTCGTTGGTTTATTGTTTTGTCGTTGTTTATTAAGTTTAAAATAAACATGTATGCATATCACGCTGCGCCTTGGTCTGACCCGTCTATAAACGAACGTGACACTGTCTCAAATAATTTTTTCTACCCTCAGTTTTATGTCAAATGCAGACAAACAACACCAAGTTGTTTATTTGAGGTACGACATGAGGACAATATTTGTTAAGAGATATTTCAGTGGAATTCACAGATAGACAAAGGAACCGTTGGACTCTTATCCTCTATAGTACCCACAAGGGCTCTCTGGCATTAACATCCATGACTGTCACATTGAGTCAGCTCGGTACGATGGTTTGAAATAACAATCATTGGAACTATTTACAGAGATTTTGTGCAAGCGGTAGTGGGCTCAATAACTATATCTCTTCAGTCCATTTATGGAAAGAAACCACATTGTTCAGAGCAGGGTCACGTCACATAACTCAGAGAGAGAAAGCGCAGTTCCAGCAATCAGCACTGCTCAACGCGTAAGTTTAAAAAATGAGGAAGTTCCCAGGCTGCACTTTGAAGTGCTACCCCAGAGCCCTCCAGAACTCCCCCATATTCCCATAAGTATTCTGGACAGGATCAGCTCTATAAGAAAGAGTCCTCCCTTGAGATTTGACAGACGCTGTTTGCTATTGTAAACTAGCGAGCATTATCGTGGCCTTTGGCCTGGATTTCCTGAACACTCTTCCATCTCCTGTGTCTGAATGTTCAGATGAAGCTGCTGCTGAGAGCTGTTGGAACACACATTCTGTCGACATGTCCATATACAGAATTGATTAACTTATGTACACTGGATGTGATCCAAAGTAATGTAAAGCTAAACAATAAGCCAGAAATTGTCAATGCAGTTGATTATTTAAGTAAAACAATGGACAAATAAAACACGTATACAGAACAACGTTTGACATTGAAAACATGCATGAAATGATTAAATTGTGGATTTCCTCAATTCCACCCAATTTGAGCAGAGCTGAGGACCGCTCCTTCTCCCCCTCCAGAGCCCACACTGAGGTTTGACCAAGGAACACACTCTTTTAGAAAAACAACCACAACATGTAGCAAGCCCACAAAAATGAGCTGTTTTCTAACCAGGCACTGTCTTCTTCAAATTAAACTGTGTTTCTACAATATAGTGCTGAAGGAAAGAGGGAAAACAACTAGAGTATTGAAATCATTCCCACCAGTGATTAAACAGCATGCAGTACCACCTGGAAGGGCAGTATGGCTGGAGCATGGTCTGCCCATTGCTATGGTGAGGTGATGTAGCTATACACGTGGAGAAATGGGGTAAGACACATTAATCAATGTGCCTCAACTATTCTTGGGATAATTTCAGACACACATGCAGGCTACAGCAGACATCTGCTCAAATGTGGCTGGTTAAATAACAAATTAAACAGGGGATTTGTCCCTTGATCTGCAGAAAATCTGGACGTATGGATATCTGTTCTGCCACTAGAGTCCAGGGGTTGGCCCCAAACATGAAAAGACTTTTTCTTTTACACTTATGTAAACACAGTCTCTGATAGAGTGCAGAACATTTGCATACCCCAAAGCTGTCTTTTCTCCCCTTAGAACACACACCATTTCAGTCAAGAAAAAGAGACACATGCAATGAACATAATTGTTGTTTATTTTTTTCATAAGAGAGAAACAACACAGGTCTGACAAGTTGGCTCCTCATGAGTCTCACGTTTCTGTGCACTACAGTAGGCCTACATTGATTTGGAATCTGATGTATTATGCTGTCACAGGACCATCCTCCTTGCTCAGCACACCACTGGTGGTCACATATCTACCTATTTGTAACCTGTGGTCATGACATGCACTATAGGTTTGTAAGATGTTTAATGTAGGGTAAAGCACTTTGGTGCACCTATATGTGCCCACAGTCCACACCATTGACCGTAAAGGTCCACACAAACAACATACCTCTCTATTTAGCTCATAAGCCTGCCCTCTGCTGGTGTATTTTACTTGACTATATTTTCTACAAGCATAAACTGTGAGTTTTTTAAATCAAACCAGAAACACCATTAGCTACATCATTACATTTTATTATACATCAAACCACTGCCACTGACCTGTATTTCAGATGAGCTGAGGGGAGGATGGCTCATAATAATGTCTAGGAACAGAGCCAATGGCATCAAACACATGGAAACCATGTGTTTGATGTATTTGATCCCATTCCACTCATCCTCTCCAGCCATTACCATGAGCCCGTTCTCCCCAATTAAGGTGCCACCAACCTCCTGTGGCTCAATCACTGTATATACGAATGGGCTACATATTTTTGTGGGTTACCCCTGCACCTCTTTGATTCAGAGGGGTTAAATGCGGAAGGCACATTTCAGTTGAATACATTCAGTTGTGCAACTGACTAGGTATCCCATTTCCTTACATATTTTAAAAACGCTTTTCTAGTCATTTGACAGATGTGCCGTTTGTCCTTCTAGCGCGCCTGTACTTGACCTACGTAAACCATTTTTGATTTTTTAACGAAAGCTGGGCGCGTTTTCTACTGCATGTTGTGTGATGTAGACATAGGTAGCTACAAGACAGAAATTGATAAGAAATAATAATCAGTGAATTTATCACATTATGCTGTAATTACATAAAACGATCATAATCGCTAACTTTGGGATAACGTTAGATCACTGACCGTTGTTGTTGAAGTTAGCCTAGCACAATACAGTAAGTAACTTACTGTTAAGGCGTTACCGTCTATGAATTGGGAAAAGTTATTCTATATCAGTGGCCTAGTCCTAGATAGCAAGTTAGCTAGCTAGCCAGCCAGCTGTGCTAGCATTGAAAGATTATTTTACATCTGTCACATCTCTTTTAAATCTCTATTCACAGATCCAGGAAAGAATGGACTCCACTATTGCCAGTGATGTGAATGGATTCAAGACGCCCTGCAAACCAGACAGGGTGAAGAGCCTTCTCTCTGGTGGCACTGCCAGTCCTAGAACCCCCATAACCATCCCTGCCTCCCCTTTCATGAAGAAACTGGGATGTGGAACTGGGGTGAATGTGTATCTCATGAACAGGTTTGTTTTGTTTAGCTTCTTCAATGTCACCTATGATGTTGGTGTGTCATGAGTCATGACCATGTTCCTATGTGCTCTTTTTTAGAGTTGGTAAACTGAACCTGTCTCCATGGGCTGTCAAAAAGATCAACAACAAATGTGCCTCAAAGCAGGTGGGTGTCTACCAGAGACGACTCTGTGATGAGGCAAAGATCCTGAAAGGCCTGCAACACCCAAACATTGTTGGTAAGAATGAAAAACGTTGTTTTGACAGTCTAATGAATATTTATACTCTACATGAAAAGGGCTACAGTACTTGTACATATTATAATGATAGTGTTGAACAACTCCCAGTCCATGCAATATTTGGTTCTTGATATCCATATTAATAGCCATATTATTTGACAGGATTCCGTGCCTTCACTACTGCCAATGATGGCTCTAAGTGCCTGGCCATGGAGTATGGTGGGGAGCAGTCCCTGAATGACCTGATAGAGCGGAGAAGAGAGGAGGGCCTGAAGGCATATCCCGCTGCCACCATTGAGAAAGTGGCCTTGCATGTGGCGCGTGGCCTACAGGTAACATCATACTCATCATCATCTTTTGAACCCAGTTTACACCTGGTATAGGTCTGGAAGGGGTGGGGAATGGAGAGAGTGCTTGTAAACAGAAAGCTGTAATACCAGGAGGTACTGTAAACTGTATTGGCTTTGATGTGATTATCCAGATAGGCTAATCGATATGGATGGGCTTTATTCATTTCTCATGCTTTGGGGCAGCGAGGTCATGTAAGCAAATGTAATTGAAGATTGCTTTTATACATTGTTCCCCACTCAATCATCCTCTGATGTGAATAAAGACGTGGCGTTGAAGGGTCTTTGAGTTTCTCATCCATTGGTGTTATTACATCAATTTCAGGTTTAGGATTTCAAATGTTCTGTAATCCCCTGAAGGGGTGTTGCTCTCTGCAGCACCTTTTTAACAGTGTCACTGCTGAGTGTAGGGATCTTTGATTCATGGCCTAGCTATGACCAAATAAACTTAAAAGCCACCATGAAATCCCCTCTTAATTATCAGATGTTCCTGTTTCCTCTTTCCCTCTCATTGTTCCCAGATGCTTCACATAATTCCATATTTTAACGTGAGTCAAACACATATGACTGTGTACAATTGTTTATAGAAGTATAGTAAGGAAACACTGGAATGTATATCTTTTTTTCACCTTCTCCAGTACCTTCACAACGAGAAGAAGCTACTACATGGCGACATGAAGTCTTGCAATGTTGTCATCAAGGGTGACTTTGAGACCGTCAAAATCTGTGATGTGGGAGTCTCCTTGCAGTTGGATGAGAATATGAAAGGTAGATGTCACCGTCTGAGCCGAATACATGCGCTCAAACACTGGGGAAAATAGGCATAACTTGATATTTTGGTCGTTAGGCCTCGTTTCCCCATGTTGTCAGACAAGCTGTCTTTCTCTCTGTTCGATAGTGTGAACCTGAGAAATTAGTCAGGTGTAAACACTGATTTGACTTTAACAAAGTGCATTCCTACTAGCCCGGTTTAGGACTCTGGGAGTAATGCCAAACATCTGTTGTTGTTCCTGCAAAGTAGCCTGTTGATGATTTTCACAATATTGCACACACTCATGTCATGAGCCTAATGGAACACATGCCAAGGGCTTTCTCAGAAATACAGCCTGTGAATTCATGGTAGTGATGCTGTAGGGAGGGGTATAGAGTAACAGCACAATGTACAGGTGGTTTGCCATGTAAACAATGTCTGTTTTCTTCATGAGGTCATGGAACCTCTCGATGAAAAAGGCACAATCAATTAAGTTAATGTATTCTTGTATTTCAGAAATAGGCCTAGGCAATAGTGAATAATTCCTGGTGTCAACAAGTAAAATGCAATAAGAAGAGTTTTGTTTACCTCAAACCAAATGCTGAAGAGCTTTGTGTTTAATGCACATTAATACTTTTATTTAGACTAAAATTGGTAATAGTTTCAATCCTGTCATGGTAACTTTCATGCGGTTTGCATGTAAATGCTTTGAGCAATGTGTGTGATTAATTATAGTTAAGAGATGTTAACATTGGCAAGAACATGAAAGGGGATCAAAAAATGTTTATAATACCTCCATTTTCTGTTTCTTTGCCTTCTAAGCAAATACATTCCTCATCTTTATTCTTAAATAGTTTATCTTAAACATGTTCCCAACTTTAGGATCTTTAAATTATATTTTTGGATTTGCTGAGAACCACGAATACTCACAAATAAACTGTCAAATGTAAGAACACCCAATAAGCCTAAAAACCAAGGCTTCAATCACTGCAATAAGTGTTTAAACCTATTCCTGTAAACCTCTCAATCCCAGTGAGTAACCCTAAAGCAGAGTATGTTGGCACTGAGCCGTGGAAGCCCAAGGAGGCTCTGGAAGAGGGAGGCGTGATCACGGACAAGGCAGACATCTTTGCTTACGGACTGACCCTGTGGGAGATGATGACTCTGGCCATGCCTCACCTGGAGATGGAGAACAGTGAGGAGGAGGGTATGGAGTGTTCTCATACTCTGGCTGTATTTGAATCTATTGCTCTTTTAAGTCTATTTCCCTTACATGAACTTGTTTTAGAGAACATTATTTCATAAGAGCTCAGATTTTAGTCACTGTTTGACAAATGTTTCTGTCCCATAAGTTCTGTCACAAACAATATCACTTGCTCAATGATTGCTAAAATAATTTTACAATAAACTTTTATATTTCTCTTTTTAGATGACTCAATGGACGAGGATGACTTTGATGAGGATGCCTACTATGAGAAGTTGGGCACCCGACCGGCGCTTGACTCTGACAGTCTTGGGGGAGCCTACCAGAGAATGGTGGAGCTCTTCTGGCTCTGCACGGAGGAGAATGCACAGAAACGCCCCTCGGCTGCCCAAATAGTTCAGGTTCTGGAGTCCAACATGCAGGCGGACAACAAAAACAGTGAGGTCATTGTCATAGACTGATCAGTTAGACTAGTCTCATCTCATGCAAGCCATACTGTAATGTTGACTGGACTTGTTTTCGTGTCCAGAAACCTTTCCTTTCCTGTTTGTCTTGACTCTTATGTATGCAATATCATTGTAATATTCTGTCCTGTACTCTTCTCTTGTCAGGTGAAATATGTAGTAAATCAAATGTATATTTCAGTAAACTGTTATGAAATAATTTAAGGAAGCAGCTTTTTTCTCAAGTTATTCAAACCAGAGGCGACTAATACTTGAGCCATTTGTGTTCATGTCAAATTGATGAGGGCATACATTGTGCTGCATAAACTGAATGTGTAATGTAAAATAGATTATGAATGAATTCTCAGCTAAAACATTCAGGTTGTAATTTCGGGATGTTTCCCCATGCATCATGCATGTCAATGATCATGCAATTAAATGAATTTGCTTAGATGCTCTGCCATACTCATCGTTATTGTAACAGACTAGCCTGATTGTTGAAAGGGTATCTTCATATCAACTTCACTGTTTATATACACTGAACAAAAATAAAGGCAACATGTAAAGTGTTGGTCCCATGTTTCATGAGCTGAAATAAAAGATCCCTGAAATGTTCCATATGCACAAAAAGCTTAATCTCAAATGTTGTGCATAAATGTGTTTGTCTGTTAATGAGCATTTCTTCTTTGCCAAGATAATCCATCCACCTGACAGGTGTGGCATATCAAGAAGCTGATTAAACAGCAACTTGTGCTGGGGACAATAATTGCCACAATGCCACAGATGTCTCAAGTTTTGAGGGAGTGTGCAATTGGCATGCTGACTACAGGAATGTCCACCAGAGCTGTTGCCAGATAATTTAATGTTCATTTCTCTACCATAAGCCACCAACGTTGTTTTAGAGAATTTGGCAGTACGTCCAACCGGCCTCACAACCGCAGACCAAGTGTAACCACGACGGCCCAGGACCTCCACATCTGGCTACGTCGCCTGCAGGATCGTCGGGGGGGTGGGAGTGCTGAGAAGTATTTCTGTCTGTAATAAAGCCCTTTTGTGGGGAAAAACAAATTCTGATTGGCTGGGGCCTGGCTCCCTAGTGGGTGGGCCAATGCCCTCCCAGGCCGCGCACCTGCCCATTCATGAAATTGTTGCATGTGGCGTTAATATTTTTGCTCAGTACAGATATTTAGCTCACAATGAATTTCTGTAAATAGCAGCGGCACACATCTAACGGTTAGTTCTATTGCTGACAAACTACTCTCCCCTAAATGCACCTGTTTCACTACAAGATTCCATCATTCAGTGCAGCGCATGACATGTATTTTCTAAGAAGTTGTGATTCTGAAGTGTGATAAAAGGGGTAAAGATTTTATTCAAACTATATACAAGCTGTAGAAAAGATCAATATATACACTCCCCTATGTATTTATTTGGACAGTTAGCCTGACCAAATCACCATCTCTTCAAAGTAAGTTACTACATATAGTCCAGTTTAACATTCTCTATGAAATACACTTTAAAATGATGTGTGATTAGAAATTATGGATGCATGTCCATTTAAAAGTGGTTAATGACAGTAGTGTGATCATTTAAATGTATATTTTATTTAGTTTAAGTTTGACACATGTTTACTTTTTGAAAGTACTCATTAAAAAAGGACCAAAATATATCACAATTGATAAGTAGATACAAAAATGTCATTTCAGCCTGTGGTGCCTGGCCTTAGCCAATGAAATTGTAGACCATAAATGCAGGCATCTCGCAGTACTTTGTGGCGAACAGTTTGCCGTCTGGGGTAGGGTCAGAGAAGGCTATTTCCTCCTTGGTCAGGTGGCCCCCATACATGAAGGAGTTTCTGAAATGACAGAAATACATTCAGATTAAAATGGGATATGACCTTTCCTGGTTAATCAGGAAAAACTCTATTTATACATCACTGAAACTAACACACCCTCAAACCAGTAGCTATCCACCTTTTCATTGTTGTCCTGCTGACCACATCTCTTATATTAACAACATCCATTTATCTCAAGTAAGTTAGCACTACCCAACCTGTAATAATTCCCTTACCTGACGGTGTCGAGCGTCCTTGTGGCGATGCCCTTCCTACGGGCCAGGCTGAACACCCAGATACGGCTGACCCCACAGATGGCCTTCTCTGGGGTGGTAGAGCAACACCAGACCCTGTGGTGCTCCATGAAGTCTTCCTTGGTCATGTCCTTAGTCTGCTCTGGCTGCTCCAGCACTCTAAAGCCCTGGAAACAAAAGGCAAGATAGATCAATCATTCATCAGTCACTCAGCTAAATATCCCTGTAAGATAGCAATTCACTCGCCAACTACACCCAGTTGGATAGTGAGAATATCCACCGAGTGTGTTTACAAAGATCTGATTGAATCTCCTCCAGAGTGCTACCCTATTGGTAGTTCCCTGTCGTAGGTGCTCTGCAATGAGGCAGCAGATGACCATCCTGTCACTGGTCCTCATGAACGTGGATCTGACAGCAGAAATGACTGCACTAAAGCTCACGTCTGATTCTGAGCATTTATTAGTTCATTTCTTGATAAACCATACTTCATCTTTCACATTTACGCGACCGGAAATTAACATTATCACAGGCCTTTACAGGCGCCATAGTCGGGTAAAAGACTCCTGATCCATTCCTGAAAAATCTACCATTTGTTTGGAGCGTGACACATTGGAACAGAGCGCAAAACTTTAGCAGCACAGGAGAAGAGTATTTACCTGTCGTATGTGCTCTGCAATGAGGCAGCCGACGACCATCCTGTCACTGTTCACAAACAGATAGGTTTTAGCCTGACTGGGGCAGCTGAGGGACACTTGTTGGAAACCCAACTCGTTGTCAGCAAGTTGCCTCACATCTTCAGCCTAATAATGAACATTAAACATGAGCAAGTGGGTTCAGAATTCAATTTACACCAAATGCATAAATACACACTGATGATTGATACAGTTGTGGACATAAATATTGGCACCCTTGCACTTTTCTTAAATAATTCCCTATTTTTTCTAAAATAAGCTGAAATTGAAAAACTTTAGTTCTCCACACCTTGTTATTGGATTTTCAACATTGCAGAACCAATTAAATTTTTGTAAACTTAAGTTTACAATTTTTATTTAGAAAATAAAGACAAATGGCATGGACGAAATTATTGGCACCCCAGCTAGTACCTGGTTGCACAGCCTTTGGCCAAGATAACTGCCAACAAACGCTTCTGTTCATCAATGAGCTTGCTGGACCATTCTACTGGCAATTTGGCCCACTCTTCAGTAGCAAACTGCTCTAATTCTTCAATGTTTGAGGTTGTGCCCTCCACCAACTGCTGTTTTCAGCTCTCGCCATAGTTTATAGATATGACAGAACAGTCCAGCGCTTCTTGAACCAATTCTGTGTGCTTTTGATGTGTGTTTGGGTTTGTTGTCCTGCTGGAAGACCCACAACCTTCAACAGAGAGACAGTTTTTGGACGCTGGATTGAACATTGCAATCCAAAACACCTTGATAATCTTCTGATTTCATGATGTCTTGCACATATTCAAGGCCCCCAGTACCAAAGGCAGCTAAGCAACCCCACAGCATTATCGAACCTTCCCCATGTTTGACTGTTATTTTCTTTGAATGCTTCATTTGGCTGTTGGTAAAAATAGGAACACGCCACTGCTGACCGAGGCACAAGAAGGCCTGATTGAACTTCTCAAAAACAAGCCTAAATCCTGGGAAATGTTCTGTGGACCAATTAAACAAAATTAGAGCTCTTTGGCAATACAAATCAGCGTTTTTTGATGACCAAATGAAGCATTCAATGAAAATAACACCCTCCCTACAATCAAACATGGGGGAGGTTTGATAATGCTGTGGGGTTGCTTTGCTGCCTCTGTTACTGGGGGCCATGAATGTGCACAAGGCATCATGAAATCAGCAGATTATCAGGTGTTTTGTAGTCCAATGTTCAACCCAGTGTCCAAAATATGTCTCTGTTGAAGATTGTGGGTCTTCCATTTTAGAAGAAAGGGAATTATTTAAGAAAAGTGCAAGGGTGCAAATATATTTGTCTGGATCTGCAACTATATATATATACACACACATACACACTGTATCTTTCTGACAGCCTATTTTGGATCATCTGGTAGAACCAGAATGATTTTTCCATCCCAGAAATCTGCTACCACCCTCTCTTTCTTCCAGCCCTGGGGACGAGAAGGAAACATTGATTAAGCAACTGTCAGAAATCAAGAGTGAGAGTGGTCAGTTAAATTTTTTCCCCCCCACTAAACCATGGCAGCGGATTTGGCTAAGCTTTTGTGGAAAAAATAATGAGCCACTCTAAAAGCAACATCCTTAGGGCAACTTGTACACATCAGTCGGAGGGAGGAAACGCCTGGACGTACATACCACAAACTTAATACTGTCCAGAAAGCGCTTGTGGAACTGTGTGTGCTGGAAGTTGTCTTCCAGACTGTCTGCACTGTAGAGCATGCCACAGGACCCACACGTGGTGGCACCAAACTGCTTCTGGCCTGCATCCTGAGGTAAACACAGAACAGAACACAGAACATTAGCAGAGCTCACAGATGGCAGGGAGAGAGAGGTAACAGTCATCAACATTTCCATCCATTCATCTTTCCATCAAAGGATTTATTTACAATGATGAGTTGATCATCAGCCTGTTTATTAATCTCTCTCTTCTTCCTGCCACTCCTCTCTTTAGCAGCAGAGGGAATGGGCTGACCAAGGGAAGAGGGGGTGCTGCAGTTTACTGAAGAGGCCTGAGCTGCCATTCTCTGTGGCCTACAGGCAGAAAGGAGACATTATAAAATGATAAATGCATATAAACATTGATACACTCCTGTACACAGTGTGTGGAGTTACTACTACTTGACCATGTGAAAGACTGTCAATAATTTCCTCCCTGTAGGGCAGTAAACCATTCTAGCTGAAAATAAATTGAAGTGTTTTTTTGCCTACCTCTTTGATGCAGATCCAAAGATTGTACACACAGCTGAGGATTCTACAGTATCGGCTGAGGATTATATAAAGGGGAGAGAGAAATCATGAATGAAAATGAAATTTGATTTGAAGTAAAAACATATGAATGTTAATTGACCAATGACAACAACAAAAAACCTTTGACTGGAATGCTGATGCAGTTTAATGGGCTAATATCGCTGAGATCAAACACTGCATGAGAGCCTGCATCCATGATAAAGTCCTCCTACAAACAGAAAGAACAATATAATCAAATGTAGTATGGATACACTATGCTTTGCTAATTCTTTTCCCACAGGATTTACAGACTGTGAGATTGAGGCTAAACGCTATTCCAGTGATATACAGCTCACCTGAGTGTTTATTTCTGGGGATGCTGAACATGTGGGAGACAAAGATATGTTTAACACAATCCTGACTTCCTTGGTCATACTGTATTTCTCTGCTATAGCTCTGGGAGACAGGGCCTCGGGTGACTCTGGACTCTTTGGCAAATCCTGGACACTGGGTGGAGACTGTGGCTCTTCCTGCAGTTTCTTCACTACAACAGCTCGTCGCTGTGGAGAGGGGGCTTTTTGATATTTTTCTTGCTTTCCCTCTGACGCAGGAACCAGGGCCTTTGTTTTCTCAAAACTCGAAGCTAGCTTGGTAGACTTCAGGGCAGACTTTTTGTACATGGAGGCTGGCTTTTTTCCTGTGCTGAAAAAGGCAGCCCCAACAAAGATCTTAGGCTTGGGCTTAGACTTTAAACCGCCGAAGGTCAAGGTGATGCCTTTTTTTGGCTCCACATGCTTTGTTCTGGTGGGTGCTTTAGGCTTTGAGGAATTGATCAGGTTTGATTTGAAGTTGAAATGTCCCTTTACGCTAGTCTTCACTCAGTGGCCACTTTCTTGACCTTGTTACTGTTAATCATCCTCTTTTTCTCAGCATCCGTCAGTATTCCATACGGATCCACAGTGGTCAGCCTTGGAGGTGATTTGGTCTCATTCAGCATCTTCCTCTCCAGTGGCGTCAGATACAAAGGTTTGCGTTTACCATAGAAGGACCCTGTTACCACAGCAGGCTTGAATGGAGAGCCTCTCTTCTGAGCAATCTTAAGGGGAGATGGAGCAGGTGATCTCTGAGGGGTTGGGCAGTTTTCCTTCTCCTGGTGTCTGGCTGACATCTTTAGCGGAGACTGGGGCAGCCGGGGTGACCTTCCATCCATGACAGGCCTTTTGGCTGGGTGACTAAAAATGTTGTTGTAGAATAATAAGGATGTTACTCAATGTTATATGATTGATTGATTGATTGATTAGTGACTGATTTAACACACGCCTGACTAATACACATCTTGTAACTCACCTGTCCTTCCTTGTAGTATTAGGCATCATGTTTGTAACTTCACTGGAAGAATAAGTAGCATCAGTAACGACGTAGCTAGCTAGCTACGTAAATTAAGCATTGTATAATCAGTTAACATAACAATAAATTATAATTGAAATACAAACAATGGCATTTAAACATTGAACGGTTATTGTTAAATATCTTGATGCTAAATATTTATGTGAAGACAGCAGTTTTTGCCAGCCAGCTGGCTGGTTCAATGGCTGAGTGAATAATATTTGGCGGGGTCATGGATTGGCATAAATATCCCAGCTACAACACTGTCTGGCAGACATAGCTAACGTTAGTAGGTAAGGTGATGTGATCAAACTTGCCAGCAACTTTTCACTCAAAAGTTACTAAACTAATTTTAGATAGAAGTCGCTAGATTCTAGTCTTTGACTGACAGGATTCTTACCAGTTAGCTAGTTAAGCTTGCAGAGTTTTGGTGCACACAGGGGTGTATTCATTACGCCTATTCTGTTGCAAAACGTTTTGCAACAGAAACCGTTTACTCCAAACAGGAAAGGTTTTGCAACGAAAACAAGAGTTTCTATTGGACAATTGCAGGTAGGTCCCTTGCAGTTTCGTTCCGTTGGCTCTGTTTGCAGTTCCGTTTAGTTCTTCAACGGTACACGATTTCCGTTACAAAACATAATGAATACACCCTAACAGTAGCTGACTTGCAAAAACAAAACGTCATGCCATCTAAACACTTTTGCTAACTGACTTTAATCAAATACATTGTTTTTCACAAATACATACCAAATCAGACGTTATCCACAACGTAACAATGTTAGAAAGTTGTGGCAATGTGGCTTGCTTGCTATGTTAGTTAGCGCGCCACAACCAGCCTTCTTTTGCGGATTGTTTTGAACTGCGCGCGCCACTTTGCAAAGAAGTTACGCAACATGACTTAAGCGGAAACAGTTTGTTTGTGACCACCGACGACTTCCAGCACAGTTATCACAAAGATTGTGGTTATCATGCAAATTTAGTTAATTGGCATGTTTTTAAAGTACTTCATTCATAATTCGTTTAATGGTTAAAACAGTTGCTTCGATTCATGCAGGATGGTGTTTTACTTCACTAGTGCAGGTTAGTAGCTGGCTAGTCCGCCCATAGTTACATTTACATTTTCGTCATTTAGCAGACGCTCTTATCCAGAGCGACTTACAAATTGGTGCATTCACCTTATGAAAGCCAGTGGGACAACCACTTTACAATATTTTTTGGGGGGGCTAGTTAACGTTAGCTCAACTGCTAACTACCTAGCCTAACTAGAGAATCGTCTTGAATCATTTTGTTAACTAGCAACGTTTGATGTCTTGTGAGAAAGCTTTCATGTCACATCTACCATCAACCAATTATGTCAATGCGGAGCTATACTGAGCCCTCAGCATTGTAAAAAAAATTTTGGGAGGCACACAGCAATGCGGCATGGAGCTCAATTTGGCCTCTGTGTGACTGCTGTGGCCCTGCAATTGCGTCACACCCTCCATATGGAGGCTCCGACCACATTTTCGGATCAAGCATAAATTGGCTCTGACGCTTACACACAGGTGTTCGGAGCACGCTAGATAGCTAATTAGCACATGTGGTCACCGCTTGTGTTCCATCTGTTTTCCGTAAACAAGCCTGTAACATGGAGATATGGCCGTATGGGAAAACTAACCATATCAAGGTGAATATCAATTTAACCATTTGTTTTTTCAAAATAGTTTCTCACTGATATGAAAGACAAGGTCCTTATGCTTCCATAACCATACCGCAAGTGACACGTGTTAATGGTAAGATTGAGCACCGGGACTCTTACCAAAACACCCAGTACAGAAGACTCCTTCGTCCAATGACTCTTATGTGTAATGGAACTGAGTCATGATCAAGGGCTAGTGTTAGCTTAACGAACTAGCTAGCTAGGCATTAATGATGAATAATCATCATGTGGAGTGGAGGATTGAAGAGTTATTGTCCTATTCTGAGAATGGACTGTTCTGTTATCCACGCCCTACTTTGTAACCAGTAGTGTTTGAGCCAAATGATCCTATTATTTGTGTTTAATTAGCCCCAAAGCCTTGTTGATATAGCAAGTTAGCTATTAACCTTTGCTTGATTTATTTTAGTTGTTACTCCTCCCTACACTATCTACATGGGGAAAGACAAATATGAAAGTAAGTAGCTGGTCATTTCAAGTGTTGTTTTTCTAGTAACAAACCAAGATTGTTGTTAGCAGCATTAAAAGTGACTACCTAGCCAGCAGATCCGACCCATTTTGCTTACAGCTGCACTAGGGTCGGACAGGCTCCTGTGTAGAATTAGACACAGAGGAGCCTGTGCGAGATATGGCTCGGAAAACGTACTTCCATCCAGGGATGAGAAATCATTGCCCCCCCCCCCTCCAAAATTGTCCCATTACCTCAACTGTTATACCAAGAAGTTTGAACGACTGCTAGTTTTCAAATAAACTGCTTTTTTCGACCTCAAGCTAGCTAGCAGTAGCCACAGCAGCCATTATGGAATGGCACGTCGCGTTGAACAACAAAGGAGCTGATTGGCTGACACTGCGATTCCAAAATGGTTGCTGTGGCTTCTGCTACCTAGCACGAGGACGAAAAGGGCAGTTTTTCCGGAAAACTAGCAGTCGCTCAATCTCAGTGTAACAGTTGGGATAATGGGACAATTCGGAGTACAACACATTTCTCATTCCTGGATTGAGGTACGTTTTCCAAGCTATATCTCGCGCCGGCTCTGCGGTGTCTTAAGGCTTCCGCATGGTTCGGGTTGGCGAACTGAACGAGTGTGCTTGCATACTCACTTAAGACCTTGCTTGAAAATAATACTGTTTGTCCATCTTCAGACACTGTAGCCAGTATACACTTCCTCAAAATACTCAGAATTGTTACGTTAAGAAATCTGTCATTAATTTTGACGTTTTTGCAGAGGAGATCTTAGCCGTGCAATTTTACATCTAAGATGTTTGGTGCAGTATTTCTCAATGAAAAAATGTGCATGAAAACGAGTCATCTATCATTGAACGACGACAAACACTTGATTGAAGAATCCCTACTGTTGACCAATGACCGACGAAGGGGCGTAGACTTCGGCTCCGAACTATGTCTTGCCTCGAGAATTTATTTTGTGAACGGACAGCCCCCAAAAAACCTTTCCGAAGACCAAAACAAACAAAAATGTCACAATGTTGTCATAATATATGCACGAACTGTTCCGACCTGTTTCGGATGGGAAGCATGCAGACGCCTTTACTCTACACAGGAAGCATGTCCAACCCTAGTTCATCTGTAAGCAAGCGGGTCGGATCTGACTACCCAGCTTACCGTCTGCTGCTTTCTCACTATTAGATGAAGATCTCATCAAATATGGATGGCCTGAAGACATTTGGTGAGAAACTCATATCTATCTAACTGTACGCTCTGGATAAGAGCGTCTGCTAAATGACTGAAATGTAATGTAAATGTATCTCTTGTAACTGAAACCATGAGATACATTATTGGGATTTGACCATTTGATGAGTCTGACTGTGGTCGTATGTATACATTACTCTATGTAGTGTTGAAAAATGTCCACCAGGTGGCCCTAGAGCTAGGCTAATGGTGCAGTAGTCCTATATCATCTAATAGTGCTGTGGTAATATGCATGTCATTGATTCTTTAAGTATGGATGTATTATTGCTGTTATAATAATAATTTCACTATTTCCACAGGTTTCATGTGGATAAACTCTCTTCTGCCCATGTGTACCTTAGAATGCCTAAGGGACTGACAATTGAGGATATTCCCAAGGAAGTCTTGATTGACTGTGCACAGCTTGTGAAAAACAACAGCATCCAAGGTAATACATTGAGTGGCCCGGTGAGTTTGATAAGAATAATAGAATAGTAATGTACAATCTCACAAACATCTCCAGGAAACGTTGTGATATCCGTTTATCTCAGGTTGTAAAATGAACAACATCAATGTTGTCTACACACCATGGGCCAACCTAAAAACAGGGGACATGGATGTAGGCCAAATAGGTTTCCATCGACACAAGGTGGTCAGTGACTTCTCTCTTCTGGCAAAATGCGTCTGTGTAACTTTCAGATCTGTTAGGCTAGTTTTATAGGTCTCAGCTTTCATTGTTAATATGTTTAGTTTCTATTGGTTTTCTATTTTGGTAATTTCTATGAAATGATCATTTTGACTTTGGCTACTGTTTTGTAGGTGGAAATTGTGGCAGTAGAGAAGAAAGTGAATGAGATTGTGAACAGGTTGGAGACAAAAGAGGAGCGATACCCTAATCTAGCAGCAGAGAAAGAGTCTCGAGATGGGGAGGAGAGAAACGAGAAGAAGGCCCAGATACAAGATCTGAAAAATAAGGAGAATGATGACATAAAAAAGAAAAGAGAGCTGGATGAGCTCAAGTAAGTTCTCTTATCTCTATCCTATACTACTCTATCCAACCCTAGCTACTTCATCTCTCTTCGACTGTCATCCCAAAACACTGAATAGTCACTTATGTGAATGATAAACTCACGCAGTAATTGTCCCTTAACAGGAGTTATTCTTCGCTGATGATGAGTGACAATATGACAACAAATGAGGTGAGTTGATTAACATAATCTAAACGGATGTGTAGTCTGCTTCTTTCAGAAATAGACTGTCCTATTAATTGTTTATATGACAGTGTGTTGTAATATGACCATATAATTATACATTTCAGACATAATGAATCTTTTTCAGGATGGAAATGATTCTGATGACTTCATGTAAAAGGACAATATGGGACATCGGACATACGCCACCACCTGCAAGTAAACATTGTTGGGTTGGCCCTGCACTGGTATACCAGACAGTGCTTTGACATTGGATATAGATCGATAAACTTGCTACTGTATTTTTGGAACAGTACTCGTGCCAATTTTACAAAATTTCAGGACTATCTCTGAACAGCTTGGTTTCGCTACGCTTCTTGAATTTCAAAGGATAACATTCCAACAGCGTTGATCTCTTGTGTACTGTACGTCCTCTGCTTGACTGACAAGAGGGTAACAAGAACCCCTGATTCCTCAGACAACTGCTGTCAATGATTTAGTCTTGGGACAGCTATTCCTTACATGCTCTATGATCTAATTCAGTATTGTTGCATGTTGACCTAATGATATGGATGAATATATGATCTCCTGACCAGTATGTCTAGCTATGGGTGAAATGAAATGAGTATGTACATTTTATTGTTATAATTTACCTGGCCAATGCTGCAGACCTTGTCCTGGCCAGAGACTGGAGCATGTGAATTGTGTCCTTGTGAAGCCATGCATAAGAAGGTTTGTCATGGATGTTGCTTGGAAATAATTGAAAGATAGCTGACGTTATGAATAAAAATCCCCTTGTTTATCAACGCAAAGTTCAGTTTTTGTTTAAAATTTAACTGCCCAGAAGCTATGGTAATTGCCCAGTTCATTATTGAGACAATATGTTGACATACAGTGAGGGGAAAAAAGTATTTGATCCCCTGCTGATTTTGTACGTTTTTCCACTGACAGATATGATCAGTCTATAATTTTAATGGTAGGTTTATTTGAACAGTGAGAGACAGAATAACAACAAACAAATCCAGAAAAACGCATGTCAAAAATATTATAAATAGATTTGCATTTTAATGAGGGAAATAAGTATTTGACCCCTCTGCAAAACATGACTTACTACTTGGTGGCAAAACCCTTGTTGGCAATCACAGAGGTCAGACGTTTCTTGTAGTTGGCCACCAGGTTTGCACACATCTCAGAAAAAAAAAAAACTCCTCTTTGCAGATCTTCTCCAAGTCATTAAGGTTTCGAGCCTGACGTTTGGCAACTCGAACCTTCAGCTCCCTCCACAGATTTTCTATGGGATTAAGGTCTGGAGACAGGCTAGGCCACTCCAGGACCTTAATGTGCTTCTTCTTGAGCCACTCCTTTGTTGCCTTGGCCGTGTATTTTGGGTCATTGTCATGCTGGAATACCCATCCACGACCCATTTTCAATGCACTGGCTGAGGGAAGGAGGTTCTCACCCAAGATTTGACGGTACATGGCCCCGTCCATCGTCCCTTTTGATGCGGTGAAGTTGTCCTGTCCCCTTAGCATAAAAACACCCCTAAAGCAATATGTTTCCACCTCCATGTTTGACAGTGGGGATGGTGTTATTGGGGTCATAGGCAGCATTCCTCCTCCTCCAAACACGGCGAGTTGAGTTGATGCCAAAGAGCTCGATTTTGGTCTCATCTGACCACAACACTTTCACCCAGTTCTCCTTTGAATCATTCAGATGTTCATTGGCAAACTTCAGATGGGCATGTATATGTGCTTTCTTGAGCAGGGGGACCTTGCGGGCGCTGTAGGATTTCAGTCCTTCACGGCGTAGTGTGTTACCAATTGTTTTCTTGGTGACTATGATCCCAGCTGCCTTGAGATCATTGACAAGATCCTCCCGTGTAGTTCTGGGCTGATTCCGCACCGTTCTCATGATCATTGCAACTCCACGAGGTGAGATCTTGCATGGAGCCCCAGGCCGAGGGAGATTGACAGTTCTTTTGTGTTTCTTGATTTGCGAATAATCGCACCAACTGTTGTCACCTTCTCACCAAGCTGCTTGGCGATGGTCTTGTAGCCCATTCCAGCCTTGTATAGTTCTACAATCTTGTCCCTGACATCCTTGGAGAGCTCTTTGGTCTTGGCCATGGTGGAGAGTTTGGAATCTGATTGATTGCTTCTGTGGACAGGTGTCTTTTATACAGGTAACAAGCTGAGATTAGGAGCACTCCCTTTAAGAGTGTGATCCTAATCTCAGCTCGTTACCTGTATAAAAGACACCTGGGAGCCAGAAATCTTTCTGATTGAGAGGGGGTCAAATACTTATTTCCCTCATTAAAATGCAAATCAATTTATAACATTTTTGACATGTGTTTTTCTGGATATTTTTGTTGTTGTTATTCTGTCTCACTGTTCAAATAAACCTACCATTAAAATTATAGACTGATCATTTCTTTGTCAGTGGGCAAACATACAAAATCAGCAGGGGATCAAATACTTTTTTCCCTCACTGTAGCTTTGCTGATGAAGAGTGAAATGCTTGAATGGTTCGAGTTGTTTGTTTCTTAGCCATATGGGTACCATTCTCTCAGGTTGTCTTTCCTGGGTGATCAGAGCTGGGATTGAATTGCCACATGGTGGTTTTTCAGTATGAAATGTGACATCTCTAGTTCTGAATGTTGTGTGTGGATGCAGTGGTGGGTGACCTCTGGTCCACATCACACAGACTGACACGCATGGAGCAGGTTGAGGCACAAGGAGTGCGTCCAAAATTAATTGTTCTAGACGACTTGCATTTCATTTGACATCTGCGTAAACAACCTATAAAAACAGAAGAAAAGGCCTTTGTTTCAATCTGCATGTGATTTGCTTGCCACTACATGAATAAGACTGGGTTATTCTCATGTACAGTGGGAAAAGTATTTAGCAGCCCCATTTTGTGCAAGTCTCCACTTAAAGATGAAGGCCTGTCATTTCACATAGGTACACGCACTTGACGACAATTGGAATTTTTTTTCCAGAATCACTTGTAGGATTTTAATGATTTACTTTGCAATTATGGTGGAAAATAGTTTGTCACCTACAAACAAGCAGATTCTGGCTCTCACAGACCTTAACAACTTCTTTAGAGCTCCTCTGTCCTCCACTCTACCTGTATATCTGTCACATGCCAATATGATTTCAAGGACTGGAACACTGTGTACAAATGTCATGTTTTCCATGAAGGTTGTTTCATGGATGAGGCATTTAGATTTTTTTTAAGACATGGACTGTTGAACAAAGGCATGATATTGAAGTTATAGCTGACCTGACAGTTGGTTGTGTGTTTAAACAAGGCTCTTATCACAACAAGCATACAGTCGTGGTTCAATGTTTTGAGAATGACACAAGTATTGGTCTTTACAAAGTTTGCTGCTTCAGTGTTTTTAGATATTTTTGTCAGATGTTACTATGGTATACTGAAGTATAATTACAAGCATTCCATAAGTGTCAAAGGCTTTTATTGACAATTACATTAAGTTTATGCAAAGAGTCAATATTTGCAGTGTTCAAATCAAATTTTATTTGCCACATGCGTCGAATACAACAGGTGTAGACATTACAGTGAAATGCTTACTTGCAAGCCCTTAACCAACAATGCATTTTTTTTGTTTGTTTGTTTTTTTAAAGAATAAAAGCAAATAACTAAAGCACAGCAGTAAAATAACAGTAGGGAGGCTATATACAGGGGGGTACCGGTGCAGAGTCAATGTGCGGGGGCACCGGCTAGTCGAGGTAATATGTACATGTGGGTAGAGTTCAAGACCTCTGCAATCCGCCCTGGCATGCTGTCAATTAACTTCTGGGCCACATCCTGACTGATGGCAGCCCATTCTTGCATAATCAATGCTTGGAGTTTGTCAGAACTTGTGGGGTTTTGTTTGTCCACCCGCCTCTTGAGGCTTGACCACAAGTTCTCAATGGGATTAAGGTCTGGGGAGTTTCCTGGACCTAAAATGTCGATGTTTTGTTCCCCGAGCCACTTAGTTATCACTTTTGCCTTATGGCAAGGTTCTCCAACATGCTGGAAAAGGCATTGTTCGTCACCAAACTGTTCTTGGATGGTTGGGAGAAGTTGCTCTCGGAAGATGTGTTAGTACCGTTCTTTATTCATGGCTGTGTTCTTAGATAAAATTGTGAGTGAGCCCACTCCCTTGGCTGAGAAGCAACCCCACACATGAATGGGCTCAGGATGCTTTACTGTTGGCATGACACAGGACTGATGGTAGCGCTCACTTTGCCTTCTCCGGACAAGCTTTTTTCCGGATGCCCCAAACAATCGGAAAGGGGATTCATCAGAGAAAATGACTTTACCCCAGTCCTCAGCAGTCCAATCCCTGTACCTTTTGCAGAATATCAGTCTGTCCCCTGATGCTTTTTTCTGGAGAGAAGTGGCTTCCTCGCTGCCCTTCTTGACACCAGGCCATCCTCCAAAAATCTTCGCCTCACTGTGTGTGCAGATGCACTCACACATGCCTGCTGCCATTCCTGAGCAAGCTCTGCACTGGTGATGCCCCGATCCCGCAGCTGAATCAACTTTAGGAGACGGTCCTGGCGCTTGCTGTACTTTCTTGGGTGCCCTGAAGCCTTCTTCACAACAATTGAACCGCTCTCCTTTAAGTTCTTGATGATCCGATAAATGGTTGATTTAGGTGCAATCTTACTAGCAGCAATATTCTTGCCTGTGAAACCCTTTTTGTGCAAAGCAATGACGACGGCACGTGTTTCCTTGCAGGTAACCATGGTTAACAGAGGAAGAACAATGATTTAAAGCTTCCAGTCTGTTATTCTAACTCAATCAGCATGACAGCGTGATCTCCAGCCTTGTCCTCGTTAACACTCTCACCTGTGTTAACGAGAGAATCACTGACATGATGTCAGCTGGTCCTTTTGTGGCAGGGCTGAAATGCAGTGGAAATGTTTTTTTTTTTGGATTAAGTTCATTTTCATGGCAAAGGGGGACTTTGCAATTTATTGCAATTCATCTGATCACTCTTCATAACATTCTGGAGTATATGCAAATTGCCATCATAAAAACTGAGGCAGCAGACTTTGTGAAAATTAATATTTGTGTCATTCTCAAAACATTTGACCAAGACTGTACATGGGGCATCGGTCATGTTTCCGTGCTGATTAGAAGTAGCCAACATTGTATCGTTCCTGGAGAAACTGACCTACTGTAATGTGTTAGAAGACCCTAGGTAACAATTACAGTACATTACCCCATGGGATCCTGTATGATTGATGAGTGATTATGGATTAATGGTTTGGTTGGTTATTAATGGCATTTGTGGTGCTGACATCGGTAACCCTTTCTAAAGAGATTTACCGCTTGAGTAGCATCAACTTGAGCTGTATTACTGTAAAAAGAAGCCAAAGCATTATACTTTGTGAAGTATTGTGGCAGTTCAGTTGTTCCTTTGCAAGGGAGTCATTTCTTTTTTTATAAAGGTCAGATATTTTACCTGATGGTGGTGCTCTAAAAGTGGGGATTCTTATGACATTGCCTGTGCCGGCCCAAAACAACCACTCAGGTTAACAGGTTAAATTACAAATATTTGCGCTATATTGAAGCGTTAGGCTCTAGGTGCACGAGGAATAGCCACTCGGATTGGAGAGGAGCCAGAGCCTGTTAAGCTTTCCTGAAAAACTGGGCCTGCTGGGAACATATGTGGCCACATTATTATAGGACGACTTGGGAGAATGATGATCTGATAAATTGGAGAGTAGACCCACAACTGATCCGAATGGAATGAAACATTCAAGTCACAGGGCTTTTGCTCCATTATTCAAAT